TACCTTTATTATAGACAGGCAAATATCTCTTAGTGCTTAAATTATAGTGCTATTAAACAGCTCTTTTTGTATTAACCCTTATATAATATAATGGACATATGGTTTAAATTTGTGATTGGTATTGTACAACTAAATATATTTAGTACTAGCGTATTATTTAGGAATAGATTTAAATTTTTTTTCTAAAATATTAATTAACTGTTCAAGAGATAATCAAACTGTGTCCCGTAGGATAGAGGTTTTTTTTTCGGGATTAAAGGTAGTCTATGTCCTTCTCCTAACCTAAAACTTTACAAAACATCATGTGAAAGAAGCAACAGTCGTTTCTTGTCGAAAGTAATTTTATCATTTAGTGTTTTTGTGCGAAATAAATCCATCAATGCCACTCTTTTGACAGGTTTCTTTTTTACAGACAGCTTATTTGGTTTTTTATTTTAAATTCTAATCCATGAACAGATAATAGAGATTATTTAGCGGGAACGCGAGGAGAAAAGTTGTCCGATTTGTTTTATGTTGCAAAAATTACTGATTAGACTTGAGTTGAAAATTTTCGGCATGTTACGATTATACTATTAAAAATCGTGCTACAGCTCGCGAATGTCCGTAATCAGTCCGAAAAAATACGAAACCCTATTTTAAATCTAATATCAATGTTCGATACCAATAAATTTATCCTCAATAAACTGACTTTTGATTGTGGAAGTTAATTATGTATCAAAATTTTCAGTCACACAAGATTGAAGAAAATAGTTGCAGTAGTTGGACAATTCTTTGTTTTAAATATGGACGGTAAAGGTAAGGAGCACCATTTTGTACAGTGGACGAGTTGAAAAAGTGTCCACTTGTAAACAGCAAGCTATTGATCATAGACTCACCGAAATAGCGCTAGTGTAAAAAGTGGAAATGATATGAATGATAGCAGTTTCAAACAGAGTGAGGTGTGCTAGATTGAAGTGTTGTAGCTTATTGCGCTGGTTTTAAAATGATTCCACTTGCTACTGTGGCGCTACCTTAATTGGGTCCCTTTCAGCGGACACTTTTTAATACATTGAGATGGTACTCCTTAGTCCTCCTCTATGGTATTTTTTTTTAATTTTTTTATTGCGTAGTTGGGTAGACGAGCTCGCAGTCCACCTGGTGTTAAGTGGTTACCGGAGCCCATAGACATCTACGACGTAAATGCACCACCCACCTTGAGATATGTTCTAAGGTCTCAAGTATAGTTACAACGGCTGCCCCACCCTTACAACCGAAACGCATCACTGCTTAACGGCAGAAATAGGCGGGGTGGCGGTACCTACCCGTGCGGACTCACAAGAGGTCCTACCACCAGCAATTACGCAAATTAAAATTAATTATCCTACCACAAGTAATTACGCAAATTAAAATTAAATTATATTAAAATTAATTATATGTCATTTGATTGACAATTGCAGTCTGGAGGAGACGAACGTAAAAGAAAAGCGCTTTATGCGTTGGCAACATTCCGTATTTGATGTTCAGAAGTTTCGAGTATGATCCCCCTTAAAGTTATGCAATAGCATACCTTTTTTTCTGAGTCTTGGACGAGTTATTAATAATAAAATAAATATAAATATTTACTAACAATCACGCCACGTTAACTGGTCCCGTGATAAGTTCGTAAAGAACTTGTGTTACAGGTACCAGATAACGGAAATAAATGTAAGATTTTTATTATACACATACATATATTTAATATACATCCATAACCCTGGAAAAGACATTTATATTTATCATACAAATATCTCCCCTTGGCGGGATTCGAACCCGCGACCCCCTTGTGTAGTGACCATGTCACTTACCACTACACCAGACGGCCGTTAATGTTTTAATCTCGACGATAACACCTTTGATAATTATTTAAACTTTTTGTGAATTACTTCGTGAGGTAGAAAAGTAAGATTTATTTTTAATTGTGATTCAAATGTATTTGCATCCGTTTATTTCAAAGTTAAATTCGTTGAAAACTAATTTTCAAGGCGAAGATTTCTCGTGTGCCGGCAATACAAAATGGAGATCCATTTCGCAGGAATATTTTTAATTTTTGGTCTTTTCTAAAAATTTAGAAATTTTTCTAATAGATGTTTTGTATAGAAAACGACTTTACTGTACTTTACAACACTGTCTTGTGTGCGTTCGTTAACAGAATCTAGTCTGTTTTTTAACCGAATGATTAGTTAATGAACATACTTTCTTCTTACTCGTCATTAGGCATACCTGCATTGTACATTTGAGGTTATTTTAGAGCTTTTGTCATTCCCGTAAGTGGTGTAGTAGTAAAATTATCTCTATTCTATCTCACAGATCATTTCAAACTTCTGTGTCTCCGAACTGACTTCAATGCTCTCTTTGTTCTGTGTGCATAGGGCGAGTTTTTTAACGTTCTCGATAGCGTAAAAGTTAACTCAAATTTGTATGAAATTGGAACGTTTGCCTACGTTTGCCGCTAGGGACGCTGTTCCAACTGCATACAAATTTGAGTTAACTTTTACGGTATCGAAAACGTTAAAAAACTCGCAATAAGCACACCGTACGTAGAATACTTTGATCACTTATTTGAAACTTAACTTGGGCTTCAAGCGAAGTATATCCTCCTATATGTTATTGTTTTAAGTCCTTAATATTTACAAGCCCATTAAGAATTTTTTATGAAATATATCGGTCATCGTTAGAAAAAAAAAATGAAATATGCAAAAGAAAAAACAGAAACACAATATTATTACCGAAATACAATAAAAATCAAAGTTCTGGAACGAAATACTTATTCCCACTTCGTACTATCTCTTAGATAATAATTAACCTTACAATTTGTTTTATCGAATAAACTTTGCTTATTGGTTTTCTTCTAGGTGCGACTCTGCGTGATATTTGGGCGTTTTGTGGACTCATGTTGTTAAGGAGCACTCAATTTATCGAATTTTCCGAAGATCCCAAAAATACGCTTAGAAATTATTAGGATACTGGGTATTAAAGTGTCACATCTAATAGAGACGGTTTGACATTCACTAAAAGTTATATATTGTGTTAATCGGAAAATTTGAACAATTTAAAAACTCACATAGAAAAAGTATGAATTTTGATAAAATTTCTCGGTGCGTAATCGCAAATTTCTACTGAAGATATTTATCATTGGGGTAAGCTTTTCTAATGCTCTAAAGACGATGTCTACAATGACAGGTTGGTAAGTAAACACACCGATGGTCAAACTGTTTTGTTAACCAACTTTAAAAAAAGAGGCGATTATAAATTCGATTGATTCTCTTTAGATGTGCTAGTTTTCATTTGAATGCTGATTCTAGTCATGTAGTCCCCTTCAAGTTTTTCTCAAAATTAAATCAGTATTTTTTGAGTTATTTTTAATAGTTGCTTAATTTACTTCAACTATATATTAAGTTCACAGACAGCCAACGCTAGACTTAGGCCTTCCCCAAGCCTCGCCGCAACGTTCAACATTAACTTCAACTAATATGATACCTCATTTCACTCGTTTGAAATCGATTTTTATTTCATTTGTTTGAAATCGATTTTTTTTTTTAAATAATAATTTAAAAATAAACAATGATAGATTGAGAAGTCATCTTGAACTAATCTGTCGCTCGTGTCATGCTGACATTGTATCGAGCATGACCGGTCGGCAACATATTTCATGTGTCTTCGAAAATACTTGGAGCTCATCAGAACCGAATATTACGGAATAGCATACTTTCACCTACTAGTGTAGGTATCTTAAGGGAAATAAATACCAACATTGAAATAATGAAAACACGTAAAACCTCTTTTGATAATGCGAACGACGCTAGAAAACACGTCTTAACAAAATGGACGATTTGAATTTTTCTATGCGATTTTAGTCGGATATCTTATGTGAATTTAAGAGTTCTATCTTAAGGATATTTGAACATGAGCATAGTAACGTTAACAGAGAAACACGGAATGGTGTTAAATAACAAAATTAAAGAGGTTACTAATGAATTAATTAAAAAAAAAATTCACTATTATTTATGAGGAGAATAAATGTATCACGAACAAAAATTTTTATATATCGCATATTTCTCACGAACTAAATATTTTTTAATAAAGATGTTTTTCTTCGTCCTCAAACATTGGAAACGAATTTATCGTCCATTTTATTTACATTTTCATTCATTTTTATTATTACCAGGATAAATGTAATAATGCGGTTTCAAAATAAGGAAAACGGCGATTAATTTTAATGATCTTCATTATTTGTACATATTTTTTGGTTTATATGTAAAACATTTATACATATGCTATCTAGGTATTAGCCATTTAAATGCGGAATATCAGAATGTCTATGAGGTCTGAGTGTACATATAAAATCTTTACGATTCGTCGAAATAGTTATTTCTCATTGACTAAACTAATTTGTGCCGTTTGATATACTCTGATCGTAGTAAAGCAAAACAACATGCGCAGAAAGAAATATCTTTTAATTAGACCTATTAGTAGTCGAGAGTATTAACGTCGCCTGGAACAGTTTGGTCGATGTGATGCAGCCGAAGAAACGGTTCTGATCGTCACTTACCACATAAGGCAACATCTAGATACAGCTAAGGGTACACGAGCGGGGGATGCAGCGCCGCGCCCCGGCCCCCCCGCCCCGGGAATGCTCTCGGAAAAAAAACCTCTTACAAAACAGATCGATCGATATTTTCCAAAACGTTCACTCATTTTCGTCACCGTAACGCTCGATTCTCGACCGATGCGGATCCGTCTAACGAGAACCGGACGCGAACTAGACCCGGCTCCCCGGAGCTCGCTTCCGTCCCGACTCTCGTGTGCTCCAGAACGACCCACTTCCGACGTCCTCGAAACGATCAAGTGCAAGGCAAGCCGGGGCCGGCGCTCCGCCCTCGGGCCGGAAGAGCCGCGGGCCCCGGGTTGCATAACGCGCTGGTCGTGCCGGCGAGCGCGCGGAGCCGGTATCGATGCGCGCGGGGCGCAAGCGCGGCGCGTACCTTCGCAGCCGTATCCCTGCCCGATGAGGCCCCACAGTAGGTCCGAGCAGTGATGGCAGTAGGTGGGCTTGTGGAAGGTCTTCTTGGCGAAGGAGTGGGTGCGATGGGGCGCGGGCGCGGCCTGCGCCATGGCTGGCGCACGGGCCGGGCCTGACGGGCGCGCTACTCATGCCGCGGCGCCCAGGGGCGCGCCGCGCTCTCCGAGCGGCTGTCGCGGCCCACCATCGCGGCGCGTCTGTCCCACACGCGCCCCGCCCAACGCCGCGCGTCTCGGCGCATGCCCGTCCCCGACCCAAGCCTCACCTTGTGCCGGCGGCTCGCAACCTGCACAACCTCGATCGATTCCTCTTCTCGATAACGAACCGGGACAACTCTTTACGTTTCTGCACTTCGACTGATATAGCGCGCGGCTTCTGTTGTCACTGTGTATTTAGCTTCTAGATTTCTTATAAATAAAATCACAGGAGCAATTCCTAACTTCTTTGAAAACATATAAATATTGATTCATACACGCATTATTAGCTTTACTTAGGTGCCCATTTCTTTACGGGATCGTGGAGATGCAATTAGTTATTATCAGATAATATTAGAAAAATAAACCTGGTTTTGGTAATTGAACTAAGTCAAACCTAACACAAATACATAATATAATAAAATGCTCTCCCTTACAGATTCTGTTAAAAAATTATGATTGTAATTCTACTTCATTTTGAAAATAAAATTATTGTTTATTAAATTGAAATTTTCTAAATGGGTTCATTGCTATAGAACAAAATTAGTATACCTTGACTTCAAATGGTTTTGGATATTGTTTTGAGAATTTCAAGCCCTAACACATTGAATGAATAGGTTGGCATAGTGTGAAGACACGAGGCGTGCGCGTAGCGGTCCGCCAATAGAGAGAGTTAGTGTTTGGAGTATGGAGTCGCAGCAGCGGCGCGACCCGGTGCGCACTCCAGATTCTACAGATGAGCGAGCAGATTGCTCCCTTAAAACTATTGTAAAAATCCAAATGGCTTGCAGAAACTTTCAAGAACGCTTTTTTTTCCTACCTAAGCTGAGAGCCTTGAGAGGCTATTTCAGCGTAACCTTAACTGGTAGGTGAGCTCACGGGGCTTAAACCTGACGACGTTGCTAACACGAACCCTAGCAAGAGCCGTGCTTCGCAGAATCTACCACCGGATCAGAAACGCGACCCACTGAGAAGATCCGGCGAGAAACTCAGTGGGCTGTGTCTGAGGGTACCCCAAAAAAGCCCCGAGCGTTTGAAAGACTAAAATTTAAGCGCTCAATCTAACTTACAATAAAATTCTAGTTGAAATTTGTTTGTTTCTTCTGAACGAATTTGTCATGTTGTGCATTAGAAGCAAGACCAAATATGTCCTAATTATTTTAACTTTTAAACGTCATGTTTTAATTACTTTTTGGATGCTGAGTTATTTTAAAATTCTCAAATATAGGTAGGTATACACTGAAAACATGTTATTTATGTTTCAAATGTTATTTAGATTTAAATTGATTTCAATAAATGTGAACCATTAGTATAATTATTATTAGCACCTACATGAACTTTGACAAACGACGCAATTTTACTGTCGCCTCATCTCCAGGCTGAGCCCCAGAGCTCACCTCCACGTCCAATGAAGCTAGCATAACCTTTCAGGGTTACAAAGATAGGTAGGCTAAAAAATGGTAACTACTTTATCATTAGTTTTTAATTCATGTCGATCATAAGAATAGCTAGTTTTGATGAAAAGTAGTCGCGATCAAATTTATTCAACGATAATGTAGCCTGCAGAAACGCATAGCATAGCAGTTTAAAAGGTCGAAGGCAGCTGCTTCGCGTATGCTCTAAGGAAACATCAGGCCCTTTAACCAAAATCTATTTATCAATAACATAATTTAAAAATTGTACAGCGTTAAATATATTTTTTATTGCTCTTGGTGGCAGACGAGCATACGGCCCAGCTGATGGTGTGTGGTTACCGTCGCCCATGGACTCCAGCAATGCCAACGGCAGAGCCAAGCCGCTGCCTACTGCTTAATACTCTCCACAAGCCTCTTTTGAAGAAGAACATGTCATAGCGCTCGGGAAAAACCGTGGAGGGGAGCTCATTTCATAGTCGGATGGTACGTGGCAAAAAAGATCTCTTGAAACGCACTGTGGATTACCGCAGTGGCTCCAGGTAGTATGGATGAACTCTACTCCGGTGGCGGGCGGTGCGATGGTAAAAACGAGATGCCGATATCATCTCGAACAATTCCTCAGAGCACTCCCCATGGAACATACGGTACAAAATACAGAGGGAACCGAAGTCCCTCCGCAGACCCAGAGGTTCCAAACGATCCGTGAGAATGGGATTATCGACAATCCGAACGGCCCTCCTCTGTATAGAGTCAAATGGAAGAAGCTGGTATTTGGGAGATCCGGCCCAGAGATGGGAGCAGTACTCCACGCGAGGCCGGACTTGTGCTCATATCAGTCAAAGGGATTCTTCTTTTAAAATCTTTACAGATGTTGTTCTAGAGGCAGACATCGTTTTTCAATCGAGCCTTCGGTGAACAATAAGTAACGTTCGTTCACATAACGGTTGAGGTAACAAGCAATTGCGGCCTCTTTCCACCAGCACAGAGCCGTGAGCGTGAGTTGACCGTCCCTAATGTACAAAGTTGAGCCTATTTGAAGTGCTGAAGGCGTGAATTATCGTCCCGCTGAACCGAGCCTCGCAGTGGGGGTGACTATAAATAAATAAGAGGAACGCGCGGTCGCCCCCGTCGGTTTTCCGACTGAATGCCTTACATCAACGCGCCGTGTTGTAAAATCCAGAAACGCGATTATACGCGTTATACGATTTCATTCAATTTACATAGACGTTTCAGGACTCGCATCCTGAATGGAACTTCGTTGATATTCATTACCAAAAAGACTATCGATTGATTCTAAATTCGAATTGTATTACGTATGTATTTTTTTTTTTATTGCTTACATGGGTGGATGAGCTCACAGCCCACCTGGTGTTAAGTGATTACTGGAGCCCATAGACATTCACAACGTAAATGCGCCACCCACCTTGAGATATAAGTTCTAAGATCTCAACTATAGTTACAACGCCTGCCCCACCCTTCAAACCGTAACGCATTACTGCTTCACGGCAGAAATATGCAGAGTGGTGGTACCCACCCGCGAGGACTCACAAGAGGTCCTACCACCAGTATTTGAAACAAAGTCAAATATGTACAGGTTTGATCAGCGACTTGGCTTTGCCCCTGGTATTGCTGAGCGACGGTGACCACTTACCATCAGGTGGACCGTATGCTCGTCTGCCTACAAAGGCAATTAAAAAAAAAGGTTTATATATTTACATATTTCTTTTCAAAGTTTGTATAGATACTTTCTAATATTCGCCACCGATCCGGAATGCAGATTAATTACGGAGAAGAATCCGTAAGCAAGTTTTTAGTCAGCTAAAGTCAGCTAGTAAGTAGTACTATACGAGAATACGCGTTAGTAATTTTAGAATAATGAACATATCCATTTCTGTGATTTAAAAACAATCAAGAAACATTTTTTTTTTGTCAAAAGAAGCTGATAACAAATCCATTAAATTCTCATTCGTTTTTAGTCATAAACACATAACTATAGACTGGTTGATGCGAACAAACACGCATAAAGTTTCCAATATCATACCAAAATCTAAATTCTTTGAATGTTAATGAAAAAAATCTTGATCTTGTACGTATGAGATTTATCTTCTGCGTAATGTTTCTAGAATATTGTTACGGCTTTTTATACCTCAAAACTATTGTTTCACACATTTCTAAATTCATTCCTTTATCAGTCCGTTATACGTTATAAACTATATACTTAATATAGTTATTTTATTATATATTAAAGGAATGAAACAAAGAGCTTGAGTAAAGCTTAGTGAAAGAATTACAGAAATGCTCGATAGATGGCACTGTTCCGGTTTCCACCATCAATTTATAATGAAATATGTAATATTTTATGCACATCATAATAATACGTTCTCCGACATTTTATTTAATTAATACTCAGTATGTAATTCCGGGTATTCGGCTAAGCAATTGAATGCAATTTAATGTTTTTAAATAGTTACTCGAATCTAAAAATATATTTATTGCTATCTACAAAATTAATCTCAAATAATTTAATATTACTAATATAAACTATACCTATCTTAAAATTTAAGTGTTATCTATGGATATTAGTTTGACAACGACGATTTGGAAATTGTCTTGTAATTAAAAAAAAAAAAGATTTTTTTAGCTAGAAGCCGACTTAACCTAATAGGCTCTAATAATAAAAAAATTTTTTTTAGATATCCAGTGGTAATTATTTATTTTCTTTTATTTATGTCTGCTGATTAAATACTATTGTTTTTCCAATAAAGGTCTTATTTTTCTACACCATATCCCACTAGATGGGGTCAGCACAGCAAATTTTTTTTCCATTCTCTTCTATCATCCATCATCTCAACACTCACTCCTCTCTCTCTCATATCGTCATTCACACACTCCTACATGTCTTCTTCGGTCGACCTCTTCCCCCTCTACCTTGCACTACCATTTCCATACATCTAATAGTCACATGCATCATCTCTCTAGGCATCACATGTCTATACCACGATAACCGTCCGCTAATTTTTCCGATAAAATATGTAACTTCCGAAATTCTTCTGAAATCTAAAGTTCTTTACCTACAAGAATTTACAAATCGATTTAAACTTTATGAAATTCATATATACTTAGTCTGGCCATAAATACTGTTACAAAGGAAAACAAAAAAAATTATATGGCAAATAAAATTTATTACCTTTACAGTGTGTTAGTTTAATACATGAATATAAAACAATTTAAAGTATAAAAAGCTTATTCGAAGTGGTCTCCATTGGCTGCAATAAAGTCCTTTAAACGTTGAGGCCAGTTATCAATAGAGAAGCACGCACTCTTTCCATGGGAAAAATTTTCACTGCCAATCGTACGGATTGTTTTAGGGACTCCAAATTATCATGGCGTTTAGAGCAAGACGTACTGTCTAAAGCTGACCATAAATCATAATTCCGCGGATTAAGATTGAGACTAGACGACGGCCAGTCTTCAGCTCTGATGAAGTCCGAAACGTTCGTTTCTAACCAAGACTGCGTAGACCGAGCTTTATGACCTGGCGCCGAGTCTTGCTGGAAGGACCATTCTTGATTATTGAACATGGTGTTGTTAAGGGGCTTCACCACCTTCTCAAGAATCGTATCTTGATACACTTGTGCCGATGTTTTGATCCCTTTTTCACAAAAGTATGTCTCGGTCACTCCTTCATAGCTAATACCCCACCAAACCATCACTGAAGTCGGATAGTGCCCACGTTGCACTCTGTCGACTAATTGGGAAGCTTCCTTAGGGCTTTGAGCATAAATACAGTCATTTTGTTTGTTAAAATGTTGCTCATTGTAAAAATTTTCTCATCCGTAAACAAAATTTTTCTATGATCTCCCTTTGCGTACCGCTTCAGTAGTTGTTTCGATTTTACCACCCTATTCTCTTTTAAATTATCAGTTAAGAAATGACCAGTACGTCTCTTATAGGCTCCAAGTCCGAAGTCATCTTTTAAAATATCATCTCCCGAGATAAAATCTTTTGCTTTCGGACAGGATTTCTTCGAATTCTCTGCCTTACTGCTTTGACCACCTTTTTCGTACGAACACTACGTGGACGGCCAGATTTTTTTCTGTCACAAACAGAGGAGGTCTCAGTGCACCTATTAATAGGCCGGTACACAAACATTTTACTAATACCAAGCGTATGGAGAGTTTTAAAAATTGCATTTGGCTCCATACCTACTTTGTGTAATGCAATCACAGCGATTCGGTTCTCTTTATCACCCCACTCCATTTTAATATCGCAAAATATTGTACAATGTATTGGCGCCAAAATGAGAAAACTCAATGAGCAATCATATAAAAATGACAGATTCCAAATTCAAATGTAATATTTTGTTTATTTTTAATTGTAACAGTATTTATGGCCAGACTAAGTATACGCAGAATACAAGCACACTTTTTTTTCATCAATTTCACAGATGAACATTTAAGAATTAATATGCCTGCTCAATTACAAATAGCAATTCTAACAAAAATAGTATTTTGTTTTTAAGATGAAGGAGTCTAATACAGTATCATGATTTGAAAACCACTGCACACCGAGGAGAAATGTGAATGTTAAATTAATTACGCAGAATCATTTCATGGATTGAAATTATTTACCCGCTGCATAGCTCGCATATTAATTGGGAAATCATTTTCATGACGCATTGAAGTATCGTGTCTTTTGATGGATTCGAAGCCCTGATCGTCGTGAAGGTCGATGTTCCACATGAACCACGGTGCTCTGACGGCTATCCTGCAAAAACGGGATTGAATGGACTGAAGGGTGTCTATGTGGGTACGGGCTGCGTGAGCGAAGACCACACTCGCATAGGTCATTATAGGCTGTACGTATGCAAGTTTTGCAAAGTGTCACCTTATTACCAAGGGACATTTTACTCCGCTTGCTTGCAGAAAGTCTGCCGAGAATAATCGCGGCCCGGTCGCGGGCACACTTTATGTGAGGGCGGAATGTCATGGGGTGTATCCAGGACTACTTCCATATACTTGATCCTTGGTATTGATTAATTGCGGGAGGAGATTCGCGTTAAATTCACCCTTTGAAAGAGCACGGCTGTGTTTTTTGCTAGGTTAATATCGATTCGCCATTTTCGGATCCACTGTCCGAAGGTTACAGCTACGGCTTGGAGTTTATTCGCGATTAGGGAATTGTTTCTACTCGAGTAGTAAAGAGTCGTGTCATGTAGCTGGGTTCGCGGCGATTGGGGAATATCAATGATAAATAAAGCCTTGTGGAACTCCAGCCGTAATATGTCTCAATACTATTGTTCGGAACGTGTATATATACACAAATAATTATGTGCAAATTTATCTTGAAAATGTCGTTAGCGAGATTTAGGCATTTGTCAAATATCTTGTGTTCTATATTAAAGTGTTTAGCTATCCGCTACAAACGCAAAAGCGATAGTTTCAACGTTATTGTTTATTAACATGATATTTATGAGGGCATTTCTGAAAACAACTTCTATATCAAAATTCTCTAATTTCATAACTTTGATGCCACTCAACGTTTATAAAGGTCATTGTACTATGACCTAAAATACATCTATGGAAGTAAGTGAGTAGGTGCAGCATGATTCATCACACTAATAAAATTGTATGTAACTGTAATGGATTCAACTAATTAATACGTTTTGCGTTGAGTGCTCTGTTCGTTTACTATTTGATTCTCCTAGTTACAACCTAGTAATATCTCGAACACAAAAGCTATTTACGACATAATCTATAATAAAGTTTGAGATTGTACATTGAAACAGTAATTGGAAGTGCACCGGATCATGCACGCATAACCAATCAATCAACGGTAACATTTATATATTAAGCAGACATATAACATATGTATTGTTTTCCTTAGTTTTCGAAGTTTAACATAAATAAAACCTTTTACGGTTTAATTTCGCGTACCTATTTTAATAATATTATATTAATTTCGATCTTTCAAATGTTTCATACTTGTTTGGCCACAGAAAAGAATCACGAAATCGGGAGATTAAATGCCTTATAGGGAATCCGATTAAATAAAAATTCTTCGGAAATAAAAAGAGATTAAGTTGAACACAAACCATGACTTAAACATATCAGATATCTGATCTTGCGAAAAATCTAGAAAACTATCATATCACATGAAACTCAAGCCTTTTAGATAAATCGTAATAGAAGATCAATCGGCTTAGCTTTATTGCTGGTATTACTGACGTCCAGAAGTCGGTGGCTCGCCATTATATTGATCGTGTGCTCGTCTACCTTATAGAATAAAAATTTAGCGAGAGGAGATAAAATAAACAGACCTTAAACATTAAAATTGCGGGCTACCCTGCAGTTTGTTTTATTAATGCTATATTTCATAACTGAGTATTAAATTCTTGCTGTTACCGTCAGCAGCTTCAAAAGCGATTATTGTACCCCTATATTTTATGATTTAATAAAATCATTATATAATTTGATAAAACTCTGACGTAATATTATAATTTACTTTACGCAATAATGGTAACCTTGAGGCCTTCTTTATCGCACAATGCCAATGATACAACTTTAGCTATTTAATTTCGTTAAGAGTAGTATTAAAACAGACCAATGATATCGTGAAATCGCGTGGAATTTATTAAAACGGTGTTCGGTCACGAAAGTTTCGCCTTTCGATTTAATTTAGTTAGTGTCTGCGCATTTCTGAACGAAACACGCCTGTGTCACTGCCTGTTACCGCTCCCGCTGTCATAATAAAAACATGTTTGAGGAATCAAAGAATAAAAGTTTTTTAGGGTTTGATTTTAGTACACAGAGGGTTAGTGTTATTTTATTTTAATCAAAATGCAGTATAGTTACATATCTATTATTTTTGTGGAATTATTACTATCGGCTATAAGTGTTTTCCTAATAAAATTAATTAAAACAATCCAGTCATGCGAAGAAATGTATTTCAGCGGCTAATTACGTGAAAAGTAATTAAGTAAAACCATTATATTTTAACCAGAAAGATAACATAAGGACATTTTTACGAAATAATGATCATGTAATGATATTAAAAAGTAAATATAATTAAAAGCGTATTTTTTGCTATTTGAACAATTCAGATGACTAATTATATTGTCCTTGGATATACACGATATTTTTATCATAGGTTAAATCTAGGTATTAAACCTAAGGTTATATATAACGGCACTGTTTTATATTTATTTCAGAATAACTAGAAGATAAAATTAAAATAAATTAATTGAAACTTCAACCAAAGAAAAAAATTAAAGATCTTTGCTTAGCACTTAAAAAAAATATTCCAATATTGCATTATTTTCTATTTTTCTGTCTAATTTGCTATAGATTAAATTACCCTACTTACATTGAATAATATTTAATTTTAAAAATATTTTGTGGCTGTTCCTGAATAGTTTCCAGGATTAAAACTGCTACTTGGCAAATAAAAATTCAACATCTAATATTTTCTCAACAGTTAAAAGCACTAGTAATCAATGAAGACTACAATGTACTCCACGAGGCTGATGTTGAATTTGATGTTGACTTGCCTGAGTTTAGGTAAGTAGTTTAAATATTTTTCACAGTGAAATGGCTGCTATTACCTTAGTAATGGAGGCTTATTGTATAGTAGATAAAGGTAAGTGAATCAAGAAACTGTGTGGATTTGACTGTACTGTTCCACACAGCAACAGTGTATAGATCTATGATCAGTCTGTGTTGGGGTAGACTTTTATAGTTCTAAGTCACTTGTATCATTTGTAGCATGCAATGGCGGATCCAGGGGGGGGGGGTCATGGGGGTCATGACCACCCCCTGAGCTGGTTCCAGGACTTAGGTGGACCACTAATTGAATATAATGATTTTATTTATATATTTTGTCACCATACAGATTTTATGTAACTAAATACCTTCAATATTTATTTAATTTAATATAATATAATAACTTTGTATAATGGCAAATGTTTGGGAACGAACGCATCTAAATTTAACTATGTGACCCCCTCCTGGATCCGCCCTTGGTAGCATGCTAATAATATTTTGTAAATTTTGAGTGTGATGTACATATTTTAGGAGTAGAGCCCTGAGAGAGTTTCTGGCTGATTCTTCTCAGATATGAAACTGCATTCCAACTGAATTATTTTTTTATTGGATCTAAAGTCATAAGCTACATAAAAGCTACCAATTTGGCATGCTACTTAGCTTATTAACTACTTTATGAAGCGACCAATATATTTAATATGTTTTCGTCGTGAAGTTTTTACTGAAAATTACAGTCGCTTCTGAAATACTACTACTACAATAGTGTAGAGAAGATATAAAGAAGGGTCTTTTTGAAAGATTTGTCCTGTATACATTAATAATTTCCGAAATATTACAAAAAAAAAGTCCAAATTATTACAATTATGAGCAGATATTTATGGAATACGTAGGCAACATTGTGATACCAAATTTATATTGTATTAGGATACAATACAGCCATTTCTTATTTCAATGTTAATTGTACAGGACCGCAGGGGGTGTGGTGCGCGGCGAGAAGGGTGAGGTAACAGCACCTCCCCTTTTATGGGTGAAAGCATTAGACATGGTTTTGGACCGACTAATTGTAGCTGGACTAGACTTCTCCACTGTGTATGCTATATCTGGAGCAGCTCAGGTATTGTGTCAACATGAAATTAGTAAAACTGTTTTAATGCTCTTGAGACTTGTATTGGGTATAAGGTGTACTTGACATGAATGGACATGTCGCAAATGTAGACTACAAATAATGTTGATGAATTATACTCAATATATTAAAGCCTAAGGGAAAGTACTATGGTACTATTGATATTATAAAATAGTTGACATTTAACCATAAAGCAAAAGCAGAATTATAGTAGAACTAACGATTGTCACACTGCTGAAATCTGAACAAAATTGATTTGCTGTAGATATAAAAACAATGTAGCTTCATTGATTGTAAGATAGTGGTCGAAACTTATCATATTCCACCAGAAGTAGCTCTGGACTCTATAATTTTCCGAAATTAAATATTTGCAAGAAATCTAGTAATAATAACTCTATCATCCTAGACTTGGTAATAACTAATATAAAGCTTAAATCATCTGTGCATCGAAATTGATAGTTGAATGGGTGTCATTTTAAAATTATAACAAATTAATTATTTAGTATTTATGGGATTCTCATGACGATTTTCCCATATTATAATAATGAGTTCCCGATATTTAGGCGATGTTACAAGCGCCATGACCACAGTAAACTTGTTTAGTATTATAATTATAAGGACATTCAGAATTATAACACAGTTTTCTTTTAGCAACATGGTTCGGTGTGGTGGTCGAAAGATGCCGAAGCGAAATTAGGTAGTTTGTCATCAGACGACTTCTTGCACACTCAGTTGGCGTCCGCTTTTTTGTGCGACTCCCCAGTTTGGATGGACTCTAGTACGTCTGCCGACTGTAGGGCTCTGGAGGAAGCCATGGGTGGACCAGAGGTGAGATTAAATTGAACACCAAGTTTAATTTGCATACATATTAGAAAAAAAAAAAACTATTTTTAAAATTATACTTTTTAATGACTGGCAACATTTAGCTGGTGATCAGACGTGTTCTAACAGTTGTCAACGTTTTCGAATTTCAAAATAAATTGGAATTGGAATTGATTGTCTAAAACTATTCCTATTTTTAACAGGAATTAGCTAAAATCACAGGATCTAGGGCGTACGAACGTTTCACCGGGCCACAGATTCGTAAAATGTTCCGTACTCGGCCCCGGGTGTACCAGGCCGCGCCCCGGATATCCCTGGTGTCCTCGTTCGCGTGCTCGCTGTTCCTGGGCAAGATCGCGCCCATCGACCTGGCGGACGGATCCGGAATGAACCTTCTGGACATTAGGACTATGCAATGGGACGAACGGGCACTGAAGGTAATAATATCTTAAAGTTGTTTCTCTAATCTACGGTTACACAAATAAAATAATAAAGACTTGACCTAAAGGTCTTAGTTACCAGGTCATAAAATCCTTTAAAAAATAATAATCATCATCAATACATATAATAAAATCGTAACTGGTCGCCGTCTGTACATCAAAGATATCAAAGGAAAACTATTATAGGGGGCTTTTATGAACGCAATAGAACCCAAAATTATATTTTTTAAGAGGTTTTGTCTGTTTGTCTGTGCGTCTGTGCGTTTGTGCACGCTAATATCAGAAACAGCTTATCCGATTTAGATGTGGTTTTCACTAATTTATTGTGGTAAGCTTTAATTAACATTTAGTGTTTGTTTCATGTCAATCGGTTCATTAATAAAAATTTATGCCAATATAAAAATCACGTAGCTGGGCGTTTGTAGATTGTAAGCCTGCGCGACCGCGCGGGTATGTAAACCGCGTCGTCATCGTCCTCGCCGAACCCGTGACTTGCGACTAAGGGCTCGGCCAGTAAACTAAACCATAGACACAGCCCACTGAGTTTCTCGCCGGATCTTCTCAGTGGATCGCGTTTCCGATCCGGTGGTAGATTCCGCGAAGCACTGCTTTTGCTAGGGTCAGTGTTAGCAACACTTCGGTTTGAGCCCCGTGAGCTCATATACACGTCAAGGCGAAGCTGAAATAGCCTCTCAAGGCAAGATCTACCTTCTGTCGTTATAGCTTATCCTGTATCGATTTTAAGCCTCAATCTTGAGGATCCTTTATTGGAATTGGCAATTGTTTCTACGTTTTGGAAGTATGTATGTGCCCTTAGGCATGCGGGGACGAGTCGCTGATTCACAAACTGGGTGCGGCAGTCCCCAGCGCGAGCGACGTCGGGCCGGTGTCCGCCTACTTCGTGCGGCGGTACGGCTTCAGGCCCGACTGCCGCGTGGTGGCCTTCACCGGGGACAACTGCTCCGCCCTGGCCGGTAACCACCGCACTCCCCAGCCGTGTAGAATACCGGCGGCATCCTCCCGAACTAGGAGCTTGTTTACTGGTGGTAGGACCTCTTGTGAGTCCGCACGGGTAGGTACCACCACCCCGCCTATTTCTGCCGTGAAGCAGTAATGCGTTTCGGTTTGAAGGGTGGGGCAGCCGTTGTAAGTATAATTGGGATCTTAGAACTTATATCTCAAGGTAGGTGACGCATATAGGCTCCAGTAACCACTTAACACCAGGTGGGCTGTGAGCTCGTCCACCCATTTAAGCGATAAAAAACACTTAAATAATGAAAATAAAAACAGAAAACCCGTGGACTCGACAAAAAAAAAAATAATACAAAAATAAATATTTGATAAAACCTATTTATCTCGCAGATAAGGACACACATTATAAAACAATTTACTGATAACGTTCTCCTCAGCCAACCCAGGGCTATTTGTGTAGCGTTGTTGTATTCACAAGTTACAACTTTTGTCATCATCAAAGAATCAGCTGGTAGATTGTATAGACGATCTAGATAAGATACTTTAAAACGACTGAATTCAATTTATAAAGAAAATAAACTAGATGGCGTTCATGTTTGTGTGTGTTTCTTTATAATTAGCAATATTTTAATCTATTTATGATCCTCACCATTTTTACCATTTACTTCCGATGTGGTCGGGTGTGGGGTGACCCTTTAGAACGGGCGAAGTTCTGAGTAGCACCGGTGACCGTTAACCGGCAGCTGCTGGTGGCGGTGGTGCTGTGGGACAGCCCTGATACAAATTTAACCCACAGACACAGCCTACTGAGTTTCTCGCCGGATCTTCTCAGTAGGTCACGTTTCCGATCCGGTGCTAGATTCTGCGAAGCAGGGCTCTTGCTAGGGTTCGTGTTAGCAACGTCATCAGGTTTGAGCCCCGTGAGCTCACCTACTAGTTAAGGTTACTCTAAAATAGCCTCTCAAGGCTCTCAGCTTAGGTAGGAAAAAAAACCTGATACAGCGGAGACTTGGACCTCCTGTCTCCAAGGGGCAAGACCCATTTGTGATGTGTATGGGCTTTGTCATTACTTAACAACAGACCACACGCTAAAGAAAGGCATGAATTATGTATTTCCCAAAGAAATCAATCCTTGTTCGATGACATAACGGGTCTTGCTAAGAGTACCTTTTGTTACTTACAGGCCTTAGACTTCGTTCAGGTTGGATAGGGCTCAGCCTGGGCACCAGCGACACCCTGCTGCTCGGCCTCACGGAGCCCGCGGCCCCGGCGGCCGGCCACGTGCTCGTGGGGCCCACTCCCGACGCTCCGTACATGGCGTTACTGTGCTTCGCCAACGGCTCGCTGACGAGGCAGAACCACAGGGACCGGCTGGTGGGCCCGAGCTGGGAGGCGTTTAATGAGCTCCTCAGGTCGACCGTCCGAGGGAATATGGGATTCATGGGTAGGAATGGTTTTGTTTTCGATTATTAATTTTATTGAGAATAGGAGGTTGTTTTGAATTTAGATATGTTTGGGACTGGGAAAAGGATAAGTTTTAGGACTCACTCCGTAAGTCGTTGATGCACTATTCTGTTTTCTCGCTGGCGAGAGTTATATGTGCTGATTGATCAATAAATCACAATTTTATCGTTTTTACACCGGCACCATCTTTTTTTTACACACTCTTTTCGCGCCATTTTCACTCGCGTAGTTTTTTTTGTAGTGTCAACAGATGGTGTGGATAGGGGATTGAGGAAGGAATAAGGAAAAGAAAGTCCCAACAGAGGTTGTGTCGGGAGTCTACACGGGAGGGTGCCCGCAGTCTGTAGTGAAAAAATTATATCACTGTCCCCTTTTACGGGGAGTAAAACTGTCTATCCAGTGAAATTAATAATTATGGTCAGATTTGGAGTGGTCGAAGTTCCAATATGCCCCGTCTACTTGTGACGATTAATTTCTTTATGCCGGGCTTCATATTTCAATTAGCTGTACCCGTCTGCTTCGCTAGGCAATTAAAATTAACATTATTATTTCTCACCCCCATAAAGATTCTCATCATTAACGCCCCCGCAGCTGGTGTAGGGAGTCCAACGCTCATATAAACATTAGCCTATCCATTAAGTACATGTATTTTCTACATGGATACCAAGTTTCAAGTCAATCGGATGCACGGTTCAGTAGTTGTAACGGAATATCCGTAAAAACCACTGTAGGTTTATATATTAGTATAGATAGATGACACGATCAACCCGCACACATACACGCACGCGCACACGCACGCACGCACACAGTGCTCTCTGTCAATGAAGACGTTTGTGTCGCAGGAGTGTACTACGACACAGCAGAGATAGTGCCGCGCCGCGCCGCCGCCCGCCTGCTGCAGGCCAGCGGAGGCCGCGCCGTGCAGGCCGGGGCTCCGGCGGCGGAGGCCCGCGCGCTGCTGGAGGGGCAGGCGCTCGCCCGCAGAGCGCACGCCGAGGACCTGCACTTCACTATCGGTACGCACTAGCGACTAGCATATCATTAGGACTCACATTATCTAAATCTGCATATCAGAACAAAAAAGACCACTATTTTCAATGATGAATATTTTTTTCGGAATAGTTCATATTGTAGGTCACGTTAAGAAATCTCGTCTTATACATAGCGGAAAAACTTTGACCATGGATATTTGACAGGGAGAGATGCCTAAGATGACATCGCCGCGGGTTCGTCACGCACAGACACACACATGTCCGTGTGTGGCTTACTTTATGTCCCTAATGTCGAGAACAATCATTAAGGAGAAGTTTGACTGTAGCACCAAAGACAGAAAAAATAAAGAGTCAAAAGTGACCGTGGTATGTACATGTCATGCGTGGCGAGCATAGTCGTGGGGGTAAAAAGACCAGGGTTTGTAAGCAGACGGGGATATGATGAGGGGGCGTTCTAAGATACGGACTTCGTGAAAGAGGATATGCATGAGAAGGATGTGAGTACAGAGATGATGTATGATGTCCCACAGTGGGATTAACGCAAGAAGAACTTGTCATCAGCCTGTATCTCTCCACTGCTGGATGTAGGCCTCTCCCATAGTCCGCCACAATGGACGGTCCTCCGCCTTCCGCATCCAATCTTCTCCAGTATATCTCCGTAAGTCATCGGTCCACCGGGCAGAGAGACGCCTAACGCTGCGCTTACACGGTCTCCAGTCTAGAGGAACTTGAGAACCATCATTGAACAGGTTGTGTTTCTCAACCATCCGCTGGACCCTATCGTTGAGACCTGTTTCAGGCCCCTCGTCCAAACTGATAGCGACCGGGGGCGCAGCCGCCAACAAAGAGTTCCTCCAGATATTTGCTGACGTCTTCAATGTCCCCGTGTACGTACTGGTAAGTACTTTGAAGGAATGATCATTGACACCTCAAGATTGCGATGCGTGATATTTGTAAACAGAAAAAACTACTATATATTTTTTTATATGGCAACACTATGGTTCGTCACTGGCAACTAAATAAAACATGAAAGAAAATAGTAGTTTCATATTTGCCTGTTTATTTTAACACATTGTACGTCGGTGGCATATTTAGAGATTTTTTTTAATTTTTTTTTATTGCCCTTGTAGGTAGATGAGCATACGGCCCACATAATAGTGAGTGGTTATCGTCACCCATGGACTTGAGCAATGCCAGGGGCAGAGCCGAGCCGCTGCCTACCGTTAAGTACTCTTCACAATCCTCGTGTGAAGAAGGACATGTCATAGCAGTCGGGAGACACCGTGGAGGGGAGCTCATTCCAAAGCCGGATGGTAAAGGTCTTTGGAAACGCACTGTGGATGACCGTAGTGGCTCCAGGTAGTATGGATGAACTCTGCTCCGGTGGCGGGCGGTGCGATAGTAAAAACCAGAAGGAAACATTTAGAATTTTGTACATTTTCGTAAAACCATAAAGAAATCGGTAGGCAGCGGCTTGGCTCTGCCCCTGGCATTCCTGAAGTCCATGGGCGACGGTAACCACTCACCATCAGGGGCTCGTATGCTCGTCTGCCTACAAGGATAATAAAAAAAAAAGAAGATCGGCGTAATCATGGTAACAAAACGCAGATTATCAAGCAAAAGAATCCCGCGTTTTCGCGGGGTTGGCATACACCGTGTATATCGGTGTAGATTGTTAGACCAGATCAGTTCTCGTTAATGTACCTTTATTGGCCGTATTGAACGTTGTTACCGCGGTCCGCCTTCGTTGGTCGGCGACTGCGGTCCGCCTTCGTTGGTCGGCGACTGCGGTCCGCCTTCGTTGGTCGGCGACTGCGGTCCGCCTTCGTTGGTCGGCGACTGCGGTCCATAGACATCAGTGACGCGTGTCGCAGGGCGAGCACGGCAACGCGGCTCTGCTGGGGGCCGCCGTCCGCGCCGCCGCGGTGTGGTCCCGGGACGCCGCCGTGTCGCTGCCAGGTACGATAATAATAATAATAAACATTTGACCAGAGATAATTGTGATCCCCGCGCGTATGTGTCACCACCGTACTGTCTCTGCTGTGAAGCATCCGATAAATGATAGAATTGAGGCTTGGACCTCAGACCTCAAGGCCCATAGACTGGTCACACAGAGGTGGACGGTGAGAAAAGTAAAACTATAAGTACTGGTTGACTTTTTTGTCGGAAACGCGAGGAGTGAAGTTGTATGAATTGTTTTATTTTGTCTATTTAGTGTTTCTTCAGGTTTAAATGTGTAATAACGGTGGTTTATGAACTGTTTAATATCTGTGAAAGTGCACAAATGTGGGAAAATGTCACTGGACGTAGCTTTTCGGGATCCTCCGAAAAGTCCACTGAAAAAGTCTCGAGTAAATGACCACCATTTTACTGAGATTATATTTCATCCCATATCATATCATCTCATCTCATTTTATTTAATTTCATCTCAGTTGAGTGATGTCTCAAATTAATCATCTTCATTTCATTTCACTCCATATTATCATTTTTCATAAAAATAAGGATACAAATTAAAATAAGACTTGACCTAAAGGTCTTAAAACAGGTCATAAAATCCCTTTAAAAAAAAAACAACTTGTATCCAGATAAAAAGTATTATAACGTATAGAGGATACTTAACAGTAGGCGGCGACTTCGCTCTGCCCCTGGCATTGCTGAAGTCCATGGAAGATGGTAAGCACTCACCATCAGGCGGGCCGTATGCTCGTCTGCCTACGAGGGCATCAATGGGAGATCTCACATCCCACCTTGTGTTAAGTGGTTACCGGAGCCCATAGACATCTACAACGTAAATGCTCCATCCACCTTGAGATATGAGTTCTAAGGTCTTCGTCGGAGTCGACGAGTTCGACGAGGAATAAACTTTTTCTCCTACCTACGCCGAAAGTTCGGTTTTCCTCCCGCTGTACAGGAAAGAAAGTCTAACTTATCCTCCCTGGGTACTGACAAGTGCTCAGTTAGTGTCTACGTCTGCTTTCAGGCACCTAAAATTCCCCGCCATTGTTGTGCTCGGGTAGTTTGCAATATTGTGTTTAATGTAAAAGTGAAATAAACAAAAGGCAATAAAATTTAATGGTGAAGTATTAAACAAAGATGAGTTCATCAGACAGTTATTCAATTAGTAGTAGTTTATTTAAAAATTAAAAAACAGTTAAATAGTTTTTTTTATGAGTGCCCCGCCAGGGCTTCGCTCTTGGACCCCGGTTCGGAACTCCACGGGTGCTAAGTTTTTTACAATGTCGAACTTTCGGCCTGATAGGAGAAAAAATAGTATGTGCACCGCGGGAAAAAAGTAGGACATCTCATCCCGCGTGTTTGCCAATTTTACACGCGGGAGGAAATGTTCAACTTATCTTCCGTGGTGCACAATGTACTATTTAGTTTTAATTACTACTGATACATTTACCTATCGGCAGGCTCGGAACCCACCCTGACGCCGGTGGCGACGCCCTACCCGGACCACGACGCCATCTACACGCCGATGCTGGCGCGCTACCGGCAGATCATCCAGGAGATGCCCCGGCTGCACTGACTCCCCCCCGCACTACCGACCTTCCACAGATCAAGCGTCTCCTCCACCTCGCGCTGTCGCCCCACTGCTGAAGGTAACTAGGGTTGCCACCATATTTTTTTTGCAGATGAAATACACTGGTTATTATAGGTAGGAAAAAAAGAAGTACATAGTATTAAAATAAAGTATAATTTATTTATAATGATCATTATGTTTAATGTTTAAAATGTTTAAAAAATATGCAATTTTTATTACAATTGACCAAATTAAACAAGAACTTGTGACAATTAATGATGAATGATATGTTGACATTTGAAGTTAAGTTGCGTACAGAATTGATTGTTAAAAAAACGAGTGCTTAGATGACGTTGCGTTGACGAGTGGCGACATTGATTGAGCAATCGATGTATTTCGCTTAACGAAAAAATACATATTATGACTAAACTTTTCAAAAACCCAAAAAAAAATCATGACAAAAAGTATTTTCGTATGCTTTATTTTTCACATAAAGTATAGAGTACAATTTACCTTTAATAACGTTATAATACTTTATTATAAAGTACGGGTGGCAACCCTAGTCGTAACCATGTTTCAACAGGATTTTACTCTTTTTTATGTCCCTCCAGCGCCTTCGATCATTGGTCGCATGAAAGGCTTCGTGGAATGGGATCTCTGGTGTGGTGCGGATTTGGTCGAACCACTTTGTCGGACTGCGCCCGCGTTGTCTTTTTCTTTCGATCTTCCAGAATCTTCCCTGTCACGAATGGCCTCTCTAAGCTATCCGGTGTTTTCCGAGAAATATGACCGAAGTACTCAAGCCTCAAAGTGTGGACAGTCTTGTCTTGATCTGCTGTTGGTCTAAGAGACACATTCCCTTCCTCCAAGGATCAAGTTTATATAAGCTTAAAATTTATTAATATTCATTATCAATTGGACGTGTCTTATGACAACAACTCTATTCCCTTGATATGAAAATTCATTTTTCTTTGGCAAATGTTTGTGAGAAATCGCTGAGCGAATAAAAGTTTTTCATTACACATGGATGTTCCATGTCATACACAAGTATACATCGAAGGAGTGAAAAGGCTATTTTGTTTAAGCGACATTTATCTTTGTAATTAAAGATGCGTTTTATTTAGTATTAGCATAAACTGTTCGACGTTTTTTTAATTGATCTTTAATTAAATTTACTCTATTGAAATAGGTGAAGGAGTTTTTTTAGAGATATTTTTATATTATTTTTTTCAAATTGTAAATGGCTCCTCTGTATAGTTGAAAAATGTCGTTTAAACCAAATAGCCACATATATATATAATGTTATATATTTATTATAAGCTTTGAACTATTTGTAAGTGTAACGTTATGATCTATGCAATATTTCATTACTTTTAATCAGTGGAGGTATATAATATGCGGATTGCATTTTGTTTTAAATGATACATCATTATCTAGTCTTATGCGATTGAGCGTCCCATTAGAGCAGGCCCGGGCAAATGGCGGCACGCGGTAGAATTTTCTCTGGCCCGGGAAGCATTGTATATATTTTTATTAAAAACACTAATATTAATTTTTGTCTAACATAAATTGGTGCATAATTTTTTTTAGATAAAATATTAAGCAGTACTTATACACATTATCAGGGCCGGTGGGCGCCAAAATTTTCTCCCGGAAAACCGCTCTTTTCAGCGCCTCCTATTCGAAAATATAATTATGATAATTGAACAATTACAGTACACAATATAAAATTAGAAAAAAAATTGTTTGGCCCGAGGTCAAATTTTCATCTGCAATGTGGCCCGACTATCAAAATATTTGCCCACCCCGGCATTAGAGAGATCAAGGCTGAATAAAAACGAAAGATGCTTAATTGAATCTAAAGCGTTCCACAGACGGAAAACTCCGAAGTTTGACCTCAACGATCAGACTAGTGCAAAGGTCCCTCTCTGTTCCAATGCTAAAGTATCTACTTAGGGGTTCGTTTCTGAATATACTTGAGACCTTAGAACTTATATTTCAAGGTGGGTGGCGCATTTACGTTATAGACGTCTATGATCTACAGTAACCACTTAACACCAAGTGGGCTGTGAGCTCGTCCACCCATCTAAGCAATAAAAAAGGACTTCTCCGAAGATGGTCACCCGTTGACCAGTGTTTGAAATTATATTTAAACAGATGCGACCTGAATGCCGCCACCCACCTTGAGATATGAGGTCTTTAAAAGATAATAAACAATTTGAAAATGTTGTTACGCGCTGGGGTTCGGGAAAATAAAAATTCTTCAGATTAAAATTCTATTTAACACTTAGAACAGTCACAGAACACTTTACAATTCGTAGTAAAATTCACTTCTACCGCTTCGCTTCAGGTGATCCGTTCGCTGTTTCGCTTCGAGTAGATCTGATCACTAACTGCCTTCGTGTCAGTTCTGCAACGCTTTTATAGTCGATACGACATCTCTGCAATTATCGAGAAAATTCTTGACAGGTCGAGCGAGTAGCTTCGATATGTGTTTCCGCTACCTGACAATAGATGGCGTTGTACTTTTCGAGCGTTCTCGGCTTTACTAGTACCTTTGATATTCGCTTCCGCCATTCGACGATAGACGGCGCTGCTCTTACCGGCGTAACAATATTGAATCACCTATTGCACTAGTACACTTTTTAGGTAAAATCCCTATTGAATTTTTAAAGTAGCTTTTTCACTATCCTGCCTCGTGATGACTTCTCATGGGGATATTTATATCCCAAAAGTATGTGTACTGGAAAAAACTGTGATCATAGAACTCATATCTTATGGTGCATTGGTGTTGTATATGTCTATGGGCTTCGGTAAGCACTTAACACCAGGTGAGCCGTGAGCTCGTCCACCCATGTAAACAATATAAAAAAACGTTAAACGTAAGTCAAAATGCTTTATTGTAATATATCGTTACATAATGTGTAGTTTACGATTGTTGCTTAATTAATATATTACACTTATTTATTGATGACTAGCGACCCGCCGTCGCTTCGCTTCGGGAACATTAAGTTTTATTATTGATAGCTGAGTCCCGCTAAGTCTAAAAAAAGTAGCCTAAGTTACTCCTATCAGCTACCTACCAGTGAAAGTCTCGTCAAAATCGGTCCAGCCTTTTCAGAGATTGACCGGAACAAACAGACAGACAGACATACAAAAATTGTAATAAATGCTATTTTGGTGTATGTATATACCCTATATATATTCATATGCATGTAGTAAAAAGCGATTATTTCAATACTACAAACAGACACTCCAATTTTATTTATGTGTATAGATAAATATGAGATTTAATATATGTATAGAAGACATTACATTACTATCTCGCGTTGTGTACCCATTGAACAATGGTTTCGAATTATTTTAATACAGGCTATTTATATCATTAAATTCTCGTTAAGTAAAACAATGCATTCCATATTTGTAGTAATTGGATTTAAGAAGAATACAAAAAGAAAAAGTTTTTTAAACGGTAAATTGGAATTTAAGGTTAACGTTTCATATCAAAAATATCATGTATACAGGGTGTGTAATTCCCGAAGTCGAATAAGTAATATAAACTATTTACTCCGGGACTGGAGGGTTCCCGGGAGCCGATATTCCTTTATTGAGCTAAGGTTAAATACTCATAGTGTTCGTAAGTTCGTATTTTGTAAAATTTTAATTTTTGATCAATTCCTTTGGGACCAAGGACTCCATGTGTCAGCTTTATATTAACTGTCACTAAAGCACCCGGTCACCGTCCTCGCCGAAGGGCTCGACGAGTAAATTAATCCACAGGCACAGCCCACTGAGTTTCTCGCCGGATCTTCTCAGTGGGTCGCGTTTCCGATCCGGTGGTAGATTCTGCAAAGCACTGCTCTTGCTAGGGCCAGTGCTAGCACTTCCGGTTTGAGCCACGAAATCTCATCTAAACGTCAAGGACAAGCTAGGACAAGGTAGGAAAAAAGTCACTAAAATCGAGTGCAACACTAAAATATTTTTGTATATTATTTTAATTTTTTCTACTCAGGCGTTTAAAATTAGAAAATGTCAAACTGTTATTTACGAAAAAAAAAAAAGTAGTGGACCAAATTATGAATCTAAAAGAAAAACGCAAATTGATTTGATCAAAATCGTTGTAACGTTTAGAAGAATGCTTAGTGACGCATACACTTTCACAGGCACAGAAGAATCATGTATTAACATATCATAAGAATCATATAAGGACATAAGGCTATTTAAACAAGAAGTAGGTAAAAAGGGGATTTTATAAACATTCCAATTGCATTTATTTATGTTTTTTATTCAATATATAAATTTAATTTTATATAATTTTTTTGTACACTTGTTGTTTAATTTTATTGTTTTCATTTCGCAATGTTGTTATTAATATTTAAGGAAATATTGGGTTTTGTTTCTCGCGTATATTTGAGTCGTCTATTATCAAAGGTGGCAATCTGTACATTTGGACAAAAAAATGTTATTGATATGTCAATAGAGATTGATTTGAATATAATCGTCTCCTTCAAAGAATACGGTTCAAAACCTGCATTAAATAAAGGTTAATAGTTAACCTGTTATTTATCTAAGATGTCGTTCAGAAGAGTTTTGTGACTGCCAATGGAATACAAAGTCAATAATTCGTTTTTCTGATTTACCAATAATGTCCAAAAGTCACATTGCCGGCTTTGATAATAGTCGACTCATTTATCAAACGGTGCTAGCGTTATATTCGAGTTTTACATATTATCTCAGATCAATGTGAAAGTAAATTTATTTTTGTATAATTAATTGGCTTGGTAGAAAAACATTTGTAGTTGATAAATTTAAAAAGTAAATGACTCGGATCTATTTATTTAATTAGTTATCTTAGCTAAATCGTGGAAAATAGAAAAATAGAAAAGTATGTTTTTTTTAAGCCACTCCACGAAATAAACTCCAAAATTGATCAATAACTAAATATATCGCACCATTATAATTGAATAGGCTTAACTAAAAAATTTAAGAAAATGAGTTTTTTACTTTGTAAGACTTCAAAACATGTATCTATCTATTCTTCTATCATTTATAAAAATTAAACTGTCTCTTTTAGTCCAGAAAAAGACAAACGCACTTTTTCCATCTCTTTTAAATCAAGCACTTAACTTGAAAGCATTAATATCGAAAAACTAAAAAGTTACATTTGTTTAATATTAATAACATTTTTGGCGTTTTCCAAAAAAACAAGGATTTTGGATTAAGCCTCTTTAACTCTAAAGGCGCGATATAATAAATGTTGCACACTAATGAATCATGATACATATAAAAAACATGTGTACAAATTTTAAAATAGCTAGTTTCGCTAAATCGCTTGAATGTTTTTGTAACACCTTAAAATGTTATTATACATATTTTTATCTCATAATAATATGATCTGCAGAACTGTAGGAGCTCTAGTGCCTCGTTTCATCTAGAATGTGATTCAATCATGAATGTTTTCGACTTGCTTTATAAGCTTTGAAGGCAATGCATATTTACAATGTTTTTTTTTTACATTTTTTGTAATAAATTTCAAAAAAAGTTGTTGAATGTTTTATTTTGTCTCTCGAACTCACTACATCGTTTATGTGCTTTGTAACTATGACGTCAATTCTAGTTGTTATGGGTTAAGTTAATTGTCCCATTAACATCAAGCCAGCGTGTAAACAGGGCCTACCTACTGCGTCCAAATTTTTCTATTTTTAAATGTGTTGTTTTGATACCGGCGCGGTCTAGTTACGGTACAATCATCCATTTGGTGCGAGTTCTTTTTATTGCCCTTGCAAGCAGACACGAGCATACGGTCCACGTGATGGTGAGCGGTTACCGTCGCTCGTGTAAATCAGTAATGCCAGGGCCAAGCCAAGCCGCTGCCTACCGATTATTGCACTCCACAAGCCTCTTTTGAAAAAGGACATGACATAGCGCTGAGAAAACACGGGAGGGGAACTCATTCAAAGCCGGATGGTGCGTGGCAAAAAGCACCGAAGCTTGTGGAATGCTAGCGTTAATGGCCACGGTATCGTAGCAGCAACCGTCTACGTTTGTGATGTTCTGCCCATCTAAAAAGCTAGCGATCCACTTGCAGTCTCTCGGGGATTCCGTAAATGGTAACTTGGACAGAAGTACCCTATGCCAGGCCTTCGCGATATCCAGGCTTCAACCCACCCGTGAGTAAGGTATACAAGAAAATTGCCAGCTGAGCTATCATGACTGAAACCGTACTGTCGGTTATTGATAATTTGGCGATCCTCAAGATACTTCAGGAGTTCACATATATTCTTATTGGGAATAACAGTTCTTCGATTAGGGGTGTGATATATTGGTAGCATAAGTCAGGGTTACCAACAATAAATAATTACAACATTATTTGGTAAATATTTAATTTTCCCCGCCATTAGATAAATTTCAACGAATATTTTTTTATCACGACTAACGTAACAAACTATTCACTGAATATCAATATTCTGATGTAAATTCTGTAATAATTCTTCCTACGCGTTTCGCAGTTCCCAAAACATGAACTTGTATAGTATTTTTTTGTATTATTTCTTTCTACCGCCTCGTTCCTTGATCTGTAGCTGTATGACGGCGCCCGGAGGCACGTTGTAGTACGCCAAGCTGTTAGTATCCTTGAAGAACAGACCCTGGAACAATACTTATATATTATCCGATGGAAGATTCTGCGAAGCACAGCTCTTGCTAGGTTTCGTGTTAGCAACAACGTCAGATTTGAGCCCCGTGAGCTCACCTACTCGCCTGACGCTGATATTGTCGGTCAAGACCATCACCTTTAAGTCGAAAAAATATGGCTAATCTTTTGTTACGGTGAGCTACGCGAGTAGTTGAGCGTGTTGGGATACCTCGTAGTGCAGCTTCTGCTTGGCGGTGGGCATGTTGGTGGCGCGCTGCAGCATCGCCTTGAGCTCGGCGACGGCGGCCGACAGCGGCAGCGTCAGCGGCACCGCGCGCCCGTCCAGCCGCCACTCCGCTCGCTCAGGCGCCGCCGGCAACGACACCTGCCGACACAAGGGACAAGGGCATTAAGGTTTTTTTTTATATTGCTTATATAATAATGTATTACCTATATTACACCGGAATATACCTGCTATATTTTTATATTTTCTAGAATTTCTATAAAGTAAACGGTTGTCTGGAAGAGATCGCTTTTAGCGATAAGACCGCCTATTGTACAAATGTACCTGCTTTTTTTGATTGATTTTTGAATGTGTTTTGGTGTGCAATAAAGTGTATTCTCTCTCTCTTAGATGAGTGACCACCTGGTGCTAAGTGGTTACTGGAGCCCATAGACATCTACGAAGCAAATGCGCCACCCACCCACTTAATATTATACAATTAACATAATGCACTCCTGGTGGTAGGACGTCTTGTAAGTCCGCACGGATAGGTACCACCACCCTAGGGCCCTGAAAACATCCTTGGGCCCGCAGTCTCGCAGTCGCGGACCAGTCCCACGTACCTACCCCGCGCGCCTCCTAAGCGCGCAGACCTCGTAGGAGGTACGGGTGCTTTTCAGTATATTATCAAAATAACCCTTCTACTCATATCTGTTCATAAAATATTTATAACTATTGATACCATGCGCCCCATGCTTTTTTTACAATAAAAAAATTTTTCTTACACTATTTTTAATAAAAATTTATTAAAATTTATTTTCCATTTTTCAGTTGAATTTTAATTTATTCTTTTTTTTTTTCAATATTTCAAAACTTTCATCTGATATAGTCGGTAACTTATCCGAGAAATAGGTAATCGATGTGCCTGGTAGTTTCTCTTCTTGGTCTTGACGCAGACACTCCGGGTCTCAGGAAAACAAAAAACCGCTACACCGGTGCATCGCTCAACACGAATGCACCGGACGTCTTATTCTTTAGGCCACGACGATTTGTTTGTAGTTGTAATGTTTGTTAGCGTAAGAGCAATCATTGTAGTGTTACGGCTAGCTCACCTGCAGGGGGACAGCGCCGGGGTGGCGCGCGAGCCAGGCGCCCTCGGGCTCCAGCGCGTCCTCGGTGCGGGCTCTCTTAGCGGCCGGGCCCTCGTCCTCGGGCTCCGCCACTGTGCCGGGAGGGACTACCGCTCCGAAGTTGAACGCCGGCGGTGGCACTGCACCTAAGGCGATGCAATCACATTATTGGTACAAAATGTACTGAGCGGTGTTATGCAAGAAGCACACACAATATTTGGATAATTGCATGTATTACTGGCACACGAATCTACAGCTCAACTGGCGTTAGGTGGGGTCCAACACACCGTGGGTGCACAGACCGAAGCCGATACTCACCGACGCCCCCACGATGGGTCGGTCCCCTGCACAGAGCACTCTGACCATATGATGCCCTCACAGCAATCACATTCAGATGTCGCTTTACTCTATAATTCCATCGAATCTTCTTTTAATCTGTATCTTAACACCCTAAGACTACATGTACATTGTCCGGCACCAGTAAATCAGGCACGCGGTCGTAGCGCCATGTTGTACAGAATGTGTGCAGTGTTCGAGTATACGTACCCACTGGAGCCGGTATGAGCGGAGGTCGGGGCGCCATGGGGGGCAGGACCATTAGCGAGGACATCGGCTGCAGCAGCACAGGCGGTGCCGGGGGCGGGGGAGGCGGAGCAGCGCGGGGGGCAGAGGGGGGCGCGGGGGGACGCCCCGCCCGGCTCTGGGCTGCCCCGGTCACTGGCTTCGGACCTATTTTCTCTTTCTCCTCGTCGGGGAGTAGACCTTTAACCTGAATTGTAATCAATCGTAATGAGCATCATAAAGGAATCTCGAAGAAAATGTTGTAATAGTATTTCTTATTATACTTGTAAAAAAGTGTATCTTCATAATAACCTAAGCTATTGCGTCATTTTTATCTTGACACAGTTCCCATACTATTTGAAAATTTCAATGAAATTTGAAAAATTCAGTAATAAGTTACTAAGGGGTATGTCGCAGGGAGCATGGAATAATTTTTTTAACAAACTAATGGCTCACTCCGGGTCAATGGCATTACGGAACCTATAGACATTACATATAGTTCATCAAATAAATTCCGCCACCTCCTTCTATTACAAGTGTTATATATAAATATTAAATCGCATTATAAAATGGCGGGTAGATACAAAAATAAACCAGTCTGCTTTTTCCAGTCTTTCATTTGTGCACACACAACAGTATGCTGAGCAAGTATAATAACGAGAAGAAAAAAACATTGTCCAACACCAACCCGAAGCGTACAAAGTTAGTCAGTGTAAAATATCAATACTTTAGTGAGCAGGCTTAACTAAAGGCGGGCGGCATTTTTAATTGCTTTTAAAAGCTAAATACAAATAAAGCTCATAAACAAACACTTTTATTGAGAAAACAATACAAATTTCATCCGTTCACTGAAGCTTCTGACACCGTCTTACACTAGCTACTATTAGCTCTTGATATGAGTATGAATCCAATCTATATAAGGCATAATTGAAGTCATCGTCTCAATTTGATAGGCCTGCTGTCTCTCATTGTTCTCCAAGCAGTCCCTCTTGCGTCCACTGGCCAGGAGTGCTATGACCCCGGTGCTGTGGACGGCTATACCTCCAGTTTCCTGGTGACAGGCGTCGGTCAGCGAGCAGGACCGAGCCAAACACATCCCCGGATAAGTAACGGTGCCTTCACAAGTCTTCACCACAACCGACGAAATCTGTAGGGTTCTCTTCAATTTTCCACTGGTATCATTGGTCGACTTGAAGCCTATTAGCTCAACTTCGTAACCGTTCATAGAGAACATGTCCACGGCGCTCAATTTCGCGAACTGTTTAAGGGTGACGGGATCGGTGCGCAGAAGGCCGATGTCGTTGTGAAGCATTCTCGGTGACGCGGCATATCTGGGGTGGACTATTCCGGAAAGGATCGCGATGGCGGTGTCCTGGGGAGGTTTCTGCGTGAGTCCATAGTACACCACCCATGACATCTTCGGATCCTGGATTAGCAAGTCTTCGGTTTTGGAGACGCAGCGCGCGGTGGTGAGGGTCCAGGTCGGTGTCAGCACGCACCCCGAGCACAGCAGAGCGTTCGTCGTAGTATTCGTGAGTTTTAACTCGACCGTCACAACGTACGGGTACTCATCTTCTAACGCATCTCTGCCTGTGCGCAGTGATTTCGTGCAAACCACAATATTTACGGTTTGCAAAACGAAATATAACATTAGATTCATCGTAGCTATACCCATTATGTATTACAATGTTGTTCGACATAGAAATACAATACACGTGAAACATTTTTATTGTTTTTCTGTTTTAATGTTTTATATTTTATTGACGAGATTTTTATTACGCGCTGTGCAATGTTATTCGCGCTCGGGTTTCCCAGCAGTTTGATTGATATTTTATTTGTTTAAGGTATCTATGATAGAATAACAAAACTTTTTTCTGGCACTGTGGCGGTGGGGAAATGCATTAGTGCTTGTCCTTTTGGGAATACGCTGCCACAAACATAAGTCACTGAATTTCTTTCACCGGGTCTTCTCAGTGGGTGGCATTTCCGATCCGGTGGTAGATTCAGCGAAACACTGCTCTTGCTGGGGCTATTGTTAGTAAATTCTCTCAGGTTGAGCCCCGAGAGCTCGAGAGATCGGTAGATGAGCTCGGTAGAAGGTTGGTACCAACGATTAGGTAAGCAAAAAAGCAAGCCCGTTCCTGCCTTGATCCAATCAGGGTTGAAGCCAATGTACTAATTCAATGAGAATTACAATTTTATATGTAACTAGCTGACCCGGCAAACGTTGTTTTGCTATATATAAGATTTCTAGGGAATTTCTAGTGTAAAAAAAAATATAACTTATTGTAAGTGTGTAATGTGGATGTAGTAAATGACTGAAAAAGGCATGTAGCGCTGTGAACGATGAGGGAATATAAAAATAACAAAACCTCATTCAACCACATAATGCCTCATTATGACAAAAAAAAAATCAAAAAAATAAAAAATATATGTTAGAGGTGGACAACCCTTATCACTTAGGGGTATGAAAAATAGATAGAAGCCGATTCTCAGACCTATTGAACATGTATATAAAATTTCATAAAAATCGGTCAAACCCACACATTGTGACACGAGAATTTTATACATAAGATAATGATTAATTTTTCATGAGTATCATGTTTAAACTAATGATAATAAAAATAAAAAGGAATATGCGAACTCTTTGGGAAGTGGCATTGTCCTTGTCGTTGGACAGGTGTCCGGGGGCCCCTGGTGTCTTGGCTCACCTTGTGTATCTGCTGGATCTGGTCCTCGAGCGTGATGTGCGCCCTGGCGGCGCGGGTGGCGGCCTCCACGCTGGAGGTGTGCCCGTCCCACGTCACGCGCTCGTCGCGCTTCTTCTCCTCCTCGCCGATCTTCTTACCGATGGTCGTTTCCTCGTCCCCTACACCGAAGATGTCAGTACGACGCTCCGCCAACTACAACAAATGTTTATATTTAGTTCATTATTTTCTTAACAGACTTACAAAATAAGGAGGTTTGCAATTCGAATTTTTTTTGTTTCCTGATGTTTTTTTCTCTCTTGTGAATTGATTTTGATGATTTGTTTATTTGAAAACATGGTGCCATTTAAATTTTATGAAGATTTGATCAGTAGTTTTGGAATTATCCTCAATAGTTGCACATTTATTGACTTCAGACGTTTCTCTCTCCTTGTATTTTGTTGAATTCGGTTTTTTATTTAAAATTTGATATTATTATGTAAACTTATTTATTTATTTACGTACACAAAAATAAGAAGGCATAGTACCGAGTAATAGGAAAATTATGTACAAAGGTACTGCTTATTTCTTTAAGAAATCTCTTCCAGCAGACCTGCGAGAGGATTATGAGAATAATAATTAAAAGTGATGAGTGTGTGTAGAACAGCTAAAATAACAAATACAACATGAGAATTATAGTAATGCACATACACATAGCAAATAGTTACTGGTGGTAGGGCCTCTTGTGAGTCCGCACGGGTAGGTACCAGCACCCTGCCTATTTTTGCCGTGAAGCAGTAATACGTTTCGGTTTGAAGGGCGGGGCAGCCGTTGCAACTATACTGAGACCTTAGAACTTATATCTCAAGGTGGATGGTGCGTTTACGTTATAGATGTCTATGGGCTCTAGTAACCACTTAACACCAGGTGGGCTGTGAGCTCGTCCACCCATTTAAGCAATAAAAAAAATAATAAAAAAAGTTTGGATGCGGGCATACCTGTTTAAGCGAAGCCTCGATGGCGGCCCCGGGGGCGAGCGCCTCGTCCCGGTCGGTGCGCTCGGCGGCGGCGCGGTCCCGCTGCTCCAGCCAGCGCGGGTCCAGCAGCCCGATGCGCACGTGCTCGGCCACCTTGCTGGCGGGGATCTTCTCGCCGGTGATGGGCGACACGAGCCACTCGTCCCCGGCGGCGGCGCGCGGCTTGGCCTCTTTAGGGTTGTACTTCTTGACGACGACGCGGTCGGGGCGCGGCGGCAGGGGCGCCTCGTCCGCGCGCGGGGCGTCCTGCTCCGTCTCGGACTGGAAAATAATTTACATGAATATTAGCTATGATATTATCAGAACAGCTTTTTTTTTATAATAAATAAATATTTACTAACAATCACACCACGTTAACTAGTTCTGTGCTAAGTTCGTAAAGAACTTGTGTTCCAGGTACCAGATAACGGAAATAAATGTAGGATTTTTATTATACACATACATATATTTAATATACATCCATAACCCTGGAAAAAACATTTTATATTTATCATACAAATATCTTCCCTTGGCGGGATTCGAACCCGCGACCCTGTTGTGTAGTGACCATGTCACTTACCACTGCATCAAACGGCTCTGAACTGTATATGAGTCGTCTATTATCAAAGGCGGCAATCTGTGCATTTGGACAAAAAAAATTTATTGATATGTCAATACAGATTGATTTGAATATAATCGTCTCCTTCAAAGAATACGATTCAAAACCTGCATTAAATAAAGGTTAATACTTAACCTGTTATTTATCTAAGATGTCGTTCCGAAGAGTTTTGTGACTGCTAATGGAATACAAAGTCAATAATTCGTTTTTCTGATTTACCAATCATTGTCCAAAAGTCAGATTGCCGGCTTTGATACTAGTCGACTCATATATAGCATTGAAGGATTTTTTAAATGCTAGCTTTGAAATCAGTTTGTTGATACTGGTTCAGCTTAACTTGTAAAATCATTAAAAATATTACCTCCGAAGTCGAGCTTTCCTCTTCCATGTCTTGCACGCGGTTATCGTCCGGCCGATGGGACTGAGTTCGATCCTCCATTTCCGCAAGTTCCTCATCAGACTCCGATTCCGATTCGGATTCAATTTGCATCTCAGTATCATCGTCGTCATTCTGGTTCCGTATTATATCTTCACCCCTCTCTTGGGCGAGGACGCGGGCTCCGACTTCTAGTGGAGTGGTCGGAGGAGGGAAGTCTCCGGGTTCCCCTGCGGGGTAATCTACAGTTTCAACAACGACAAAATCGTGCCAGTCTATGGAGGCATACGCGAGCCTCTCTTTCTCAATTTTGGCCTCGTCAGCGGCCTTGCGCTTGGCCTGGTGCGCGTGCCAGGCAGCGCGACTGCGGGCTTGTTCTAATATCCCGCTGCGTATCTCAGCATTCAGCTTCGATACTAGTTCTTTTGGCGGAAGCAGCACCTTCGTGTACTGCTCAAGCAGACGCGTGAAGTATTGGAACAGTGAATGCTGGGGACGAAGAAAATCAAACTGATGATTACGCTCCTCTTTCTTCATTAAATCCGTTAAGAACTGACGACCGTTTCTGGCGACAAATTGCGCGGTTAACTTCACTATGTCGAGTTCCAGAGCCGATATAGACGGTGGATCAGCGATAAATTCGAAATCTGGAGGGGGGTCGCGCGGCGGAGGCAGTTCTGCAGGAGCAGCCGCCTTGAGGAGCTCCTGCTGGCGGGCCGCTGTGGCTGGAGCGAGACCCATTCGTTGCTGTCCTGATGGCATAGTTGGTGGTGCAGTTGGTTCGGGAACTAAAAAAATATGACTATCAGTGACATAAGCAGACTAGATTTTAATCTTTCTATCAAATGTAAGTTGACCAAGCTGTGCAAATTTTATATTAGAAGAACAATTCTTTCTTTTAATCAAAGCTGAGACATGATTTGTTTTTCAACAAACAGGTCATATTCATCACATATGTATATAATCAACAGTTGCTATGCTGGCCCACATAATAATATCAACAAGTTGTCCTGAACCCACAAATTTGACAATAGCCTTCTTTCTTTCACATTGTTATGTTAATCTTTTAATTAAATTTTATACTAATTTAAATGAATAGAATTTGAAAACTTACCTTTTCCCTCTTTGATCTCTCTGACTTTATGCTGATAGTAAGCATGGTAGGGATCCCCTGAATTAAGGAAGTTGAACTTTGGGTTGCCCAGTTCATTCTGTCTGATCCTAGCTTCAAATTCAGGACCATTACGAGCCACAAAGCTGGCAGTTTTATCGACAATATCTATTTAGCTTGGTTAAAGAAACATTTTTGAAAATTCTGAAATAAAACTTTGAGCTAATTTAATTTTGAATATCTTTTTGGCTAAAATAAAGAACTGGGAATAATAGTACATTGTGCGGTGCACATACTATTTTTTCTCCTACCAGGCCGACAGTTCGTGGAGTACCGAGCCGGAGCCCAGGGGCGAAGCCCCGGCGGAGTCCAGGGGCGAAGCCCTGGCGGGTGTAGTACTCTTAAAAAACAATTTAACTGTTTTTTAATTTTTAAGTAAACTACTACTAATTGAATAAGAACTGTCTGATGAACTCATCTTTGTTTAATACTTCACTATTAAATTTTATTGCCTTTTGTTTATTTCACTTCTACTCTAAACACAATATTGCAAATTACCCGAGCACAACAATGGCAGAGAATTTTAGATGTGTGAGAGCAGACGTAGACACTAACGCGCATGCGCACTTGTCAATACCCAGGGAGGAAAAGTTACACTTTCTTCTCGTTATAGCATAGCGAGCATGAGAGTAATAATAAACTATTTAAACATAAACAGAAAACGATATTAACCATAAATTATAGTAAGGAACTAAAAACTTCTTTCATAAACATATATTTTAAGTGAAACCTGATTTTAGGGTAAGTATTCTTACTTCAAGAACAATCTCACAGTCCACCAGGGTTAAAGCAGTTATCAGAGCCTATTGAAACCACAATTTAAATACCACCTATTATCAGAAATGAATCTCAATTCAATTGTAAAATTCTGTCTGTTCCGACTGCTTCACAACAGAAATCGGCAGATCGACACATGCTGGCCATCAAACTGAACATGCGATATTGTGTTGTTTCAATGCATTGTTCGTCTAGCAATTTTGTGTACTATGTTATTCATTTGATACGATTTGGAGTTTTATTACACTAGCAGAAAGACTACTATTATGTTCAACTCCAGTAATAACTTAACACCAGATGGGCCAAAAGTATTTCCTGGTGCAACAACACAATATTTCCTTCTGTAAATTTAGGCTGAAAAGTTCTTAGTATTAAATTGTGGGTTAAACAGCTTCCTGGCTAATGGTCATTAGATGGAAAATAATTTTCAAGCAATTGGGCTTTCAATTAACGAAAATATTGAGAGTGGGTTAATTAGAAGTGATTTCGGTTAGAAATTGTGAGATTGCCTAATAACATGAACAGCCAAGTCTACAAGATATTAATCCTTTATCTATTTCAAAATGAATTTCTTTGTTTTTCAATCAAATTTCATTTATTATTTATTTAGTAGCTATCATGTTTAGTTATCAAAATACACACAGAGAGTTGTTTTTCCTAAATGTTAATAACCAATAAAAGAGAATTTGTTAAAATTTCCATCCATAATTTTTTTTAATTGTCACGTTATTAAATTCCTTGTGCTAGGCAATAATTTTAAATCTTACCAAACCAAATTTGCGTGGCAAAACAGATCATGATCATACTTACAAAAATCAAACTATGTGACAGTTTAATTATGTATTTGTATCCTTTATGCGAATCGTTGTTTTCTTGGTTACGCCGATTATGTGTTTTAACCATGAATCAACGAATTAATCCAAACTCGAAAATCTGATTCCGGTGGACAGCGAATGTTTCAGTGCCGTCAATTTGATATCAGAAAAGTATTTAGGATATTTTGATTTCGGATTAAATTGCATTAAAATCGTAATTTATATCATAAATACTACCTGTTTATTGTTGTTAAAAGGATACTTCTGACTTCAGGTGGTGGATAAATAATGCCAATGACTGGAGGGGGTGGTGGAGGCGGATCTTCCGGGATCTCCAACGGCTGCCCCGGTGGTAGCATTACATCTATAGATGGCATTGTGCCTTCCGTTTACAGCTACTCTCTCAGAAAAGTAAACGATATTTACGCACTATGAACAACAATTTACAACAACAGCCTAAATGACGCTATAAATAACCTCAAATTTTGACAGTAGTAGTAGTTCCATTTTTCCAACTGAAAAGGCAAAGATATCACACCATACAGCTTAATTTTTGTATATTCTACTCTCTTTCATAAAAAATTAAGGAGCAAAATGAAGTTGATTGAATGATTTGCGGCATTTGAGATGAAATTAAATGAAACGATATAATGTGAGATGAAATATAATCTCAGTGAAATAGTAGTTATTTACTGAGACTTTCAGTAGACTTTTTGGAAGATCCCGAGAAACTCTGTCCAGCGCCTTTGTTTCATTAACCCATAAAAATTTGACAGTAATGAAGTTTAGATCCTTTATTGTTCTAAAACAGGGCAAGCAAAGGAATCATATCAAAAACTTTAATTTATAGAAGAAGGCCGAACTTGCATCTGTTGTATGAAAAGTTATAAAACTATATTAGAATCCGAAATAAAATAGAACGGATTTAAATGAGGTAAAATATTTAATTATAATATAAACAACCAGATGATGGATGGTTGTGAATGGCTCGTTTCTTGTCTTACGCTGGCCTCACGCGTCGGGGTCTCTCGGTAATGTTAATGCAATATTTAGGTGCGTTTTGGCTAGCCGCTGTCCCACGTGGTTCCGCTGGAGGTGAAGTTAATTTGAGTCAGTGTTTAATAGCTAGTTCATATCCTAATTACACGCGATGCAAGCTTGCATGAGTGGATGAACGGGATATGATACAATTTTGTTAATTTTCAGAAAACTGGTAACAAACTTGTTACTTGTACTTTTTCTTCGTACATAACTCATTCATCAAATGCAATTTCTAAAAATAACCTTTAAACCTGGATTTTTAAGGTCTAATTTAATTTATAGGCACATACCACCTTCACTCAATGCAAAAACTAAAAAAAAAAAATGATACCTAACCCCTTCATCCACTCATATCATCAATTATGCATATAATATTTTTTGTGGGTTTGGCTTTTATTACACGATGTTATTCCTTGATCGTGGAAGCAATTCGTGAAAATGAGTAAGGTACACGGATTACACTAGAAAAACATGTATCTTCAAGCAGGATTCGAACATCGGCACGGTCGCATCGCTCGAAACGAATGCACAAGGCGTCATATCCTTTAAGCCACGACGATTACTAATATATCATAGCGATCATAAATCTACGCAATGTACACTTCTCTACCTACAACCGCCACCCGAGCTAGTGACAGTCGAGCACCGCTTACTCGGACGATGTCCCGGACATCAGCATGGGGGAGATTGGGATGGCCTTGGCTCAGCTCAAAAATGGTAGAGCACCTGGTGAAGATGGAATTACGACAGATCTGCTAAAATCCGGAGGGGTTCCGTCATACACAACGGGACTACACCATTGGCGTAGACAAGGAGTCGGGTCGTGTTGTTCATCAAGAAGGGTGATAAAACTTTATTGAAAAACTATAGACTGATATCTCTTTTGAACCACGTCTACAAGGTCTTTTATAGGGTCATTACTAATCGTCTCGCCCGAAGGCTTGATGAATACCAGTCACCGGAGCAGGCTGGGTTTCGAAAAGGTTACAATACCGTAGACCATATTCACACCCTCAGACAGATTATGCAAAATTCTACAGAATATAATCTGCCACTTTGCATGGCTTTCGTGGACTACGAGAAAGCCTTTGACTCTACAGTTCTGGAATTCTTACAGCGATGCCAATTATCACTATATCGAGGTGTTGAGAAGTCTATACGATGCCGTGATAATGACCGTACAAATCCAGGATTGCCAGTCTATACCTATGAAGCTGCAGTGGAGTGTCCGACAGGGAGATGTTATATCTCCGAAACTGTTCACCGCTGCACTTGAAGATGTCTTCAAGATGCTGGACTGGATAACACGCGGAATCAACGTCAACGGAGAGTACATGTCGCACCTTCGATTTGCCGTTGACATAGTCATAATGTCGGTATCGCTGGTGGACCTCAGTCGTATGCTCAACGATCTCAACGCTGCTTCCCGATGCGTGAGACTCCGGATGAACCTTGACAAGATGAAAGTCATGTTCAATGATCAAATCGTCCAGGGCCAAGTTACCATCTCGAATGCAGCAATTGAAGAGGTAAAAGACTTTATCTACTTCGGTCAGGCTATCCAGCTTGGCCGAGGTAACTTCAATACAGAGATTGAGAGACGCATACGACTGGGCTGGTCCGCATTTGAGAAATTCCGTGCAATGCTCACCTCGCAAATTCCTCAATGTCTGAAGGCAAAAGTTTTTAATCGGTGCGTTCTCCCCGCGATGACCTACGGCGCGAAAACCTGGACACTGACGGCGGGGCTGGCCCATAAGTTAAGAGTCGCACAGCGGGCGATGGAGAGAGCTGTGCTCGGTATTTCTCTAAGGGACAAAATCCAAAACGAAGAAATTCGACGGAGAACCAAAGTCGACGACATTGCTCTCAAAGTTAGCAGGCTAAAGTAGCAACGGGCCGGTCACATCTGTTGAGCCAGCGACGTCAGGTGGAGGAGGAAGGTTCTCGAATGGCGGCCACGAATGGGTACCAGGAACGCGGGGCGTCCTCCAACCAGGTGGACCGACTACTACCGATGCGGAAGGTGGAGGACCGCATTCTGTGGAAGCCATTGGGGAAGGCCTATGTCCAACAGTGGGCAGATTAAGACTGATGATGATGACGATGATGATGATCATAAATAAGAATAATTGGATATTAACAAGTAAAATAAAAAATAAATATGTTATACGAACCAATTTATTGCCACCAATTTTAATACAAATGTTTTGCACCGTAATACAGATAATTTACAGATCTGTTGTGACCATTGACAATACCCATGCTTGTTACGGAGCGAAAGCCGACGTCGAAGCACACAGCTACGGTTAAAACCATCACATACGTTAAAATCCAGAATAAAACAGCATATACCAACATCCACAGAGCCGTATTGGCGTTCCATTCATTGTAGTCCTGTTGAACAAAGCCAAGCTCTATGGAGCATTTCTCTTTCGGCTGAAATATTAGAATGTTTTTTTTTTTAAATCACTATACGCCATAAATCAAATCTATTAAACCGTAGTATCGAGTTCTCTTTTGTCTAGGTCAAATGAAAAATAAAAAACTAAAGAGTAATAGTTGAGACAACACAGTCGTTTAGAAGAAGATATTAAACTAATTTCAATAGTTTTGAGTAACAAAACCATTGCATTATAACTGTTCCAAGTAACTTAATGATAGGTAGGTACTCTTTCTCCATAGCCTTCTATTAAATAGTTACAACTAACGGAATTTTTTTTATTGCTTAGATGGGTGGTCGAGCTCACAGCCCAGCTGGTGTTAAGTGGTTACTGGAGCCCATAGACATCTACAACGTAAATGCGCAACCCACCTTGAGGTGTAAGTTCTAAGGTCTCAAGTATAATTACAACGGCTGCCCCACCCTTCAAACCGAAACATATTACTGCTTCGCGGCAGAAATAGGCAGGGTGGTGGTACCTACCCGCGCGGACTCACAAGAGGTCCTACCACCAGTACACAGATAAAGCGCGTTTGTTTTTCAAACGTTAATACCGTTTTATAGTACATCGGTGGTACGGCAATACAATCACACTTTCTGCTTTGAAATGACAGCAGCATTACCGAATCAATTGGTACTTCAATTCGTGGCGGGCAACATTTGCGTCGTGGTGGCTATATGTGGTGTATAGGTGAATCCGTAAGCTGTACCTTCTACCACGGCTAACTTCAACCGTGCATTCAAAAGTAGATTTCATGGATCTTATCAATGATGTTATATTTTTACTATAACATCATTGGATCTAAAATGATTTACTAGGGCGCCGATGTGATGAATTTTGTAAAATAAGAATCTTACTGTTTCGATGTTGTTCATATCTTCAGGAGTATAAGATGACATTGCTGCTATATTTTGTGTAGCCAAATAAATTAAATAAGTTAAATTTCATTTCATCAAATCAAATCAATTTTGACATTTATTTAACGCACGGCCCGGTTTCGACTGGTTTGGCTATATTGTATATAATCTGTGTAACATAGCGGTTTTACATGATTTTTGCTACTATGAAAGATAAAACGAAAACATAATATATAATATATATATTTCACTTTTCTACTGAATAATATATCTTCTAAGTGGAAAATTACGTTAACAACGCATATGCGATTGAAAATCTAAAAAAAAATATGAAATCTACATACCTCATACCTAACCCAGACCGCATTAATTAGGGCTTAAATAATCCGATCTTAAACCGATAAATAGCCCAAAAAATTTACGAATTAGCAAAAAAATTAACTACGAAGACTCTTAACCAGATGTGAGAATTTAAATGATGATGTTGTTATAATAATTTTAAAGTTCTGAAAAGTCTCAATTATTTTCGATAAATATCTCGTCGGTATGTACATTCGATGGCGCACTGCAGAGTTTTGATACAAAACTACACAGGAAAAGTCATTGGGATTTTAAAAAGTTGCTGAACTGACTTTAATTAAATATTTGACACTTCAGCAAAGGAGAGCGCTTCATCATGAACCATATTAGTACGACACCGTACAAGAAAACACGTACGTACAAGAAAAATATGCACAGAGTAAATAAACCTGTTCGTCATACAATTGTTTGCTTGAATTTGGAACAGTGGGCTTAGTGCGAATTTTTTAACGTTTTCGATAGCGTAAAAGTTACCTCAAATTGATATGCAGCTGGAACAGTGCCCCTAGCGGCAAACATAGGCAAACGTTCCAACTCCATACAAATTTAGCTTAACTTTTACGTTATCGAGAACGTTAAAAAACTCGCACCAAGCCCACTGAACCTAAGATCCACGGCTCAACAGTGAGAGAGGCTCACCACTGCGCCAGCAGATCTAATAAACTATATTTAAACTATTAAGAATTATTTTCAACAGAACCAATCAACAACTGAATAAAAGACTTTTTTCATAAAATATTTAATAATAATTTATTCGGCATCAATGGACAT